TATCTATCTATCTATCTATCTATCTATCTATCTATCTATCTATCTATCTATATCTGTCTGTAATGGGCAGAAGAAATCACAGGAACAGAAGGAAGAGCCACAACCAAGACAACGGTCAGATAAAAGAAACCTGAGTCCAGGGCAGAACTGTAATCTGAGGAAGCCTGTTAGACAAGACCCTCCCTAGTTCTTATAAAGATAAAGGGAGGGAGGGAAGAAGCACCTTCAGACTTGCAAGATTCTGTTACTATGACCTTATAATAAAAGTAGGATTCGCTTGCACGTCTTTGGTGTCCATATTTGGTCCACCTTGAAGGGCTGACATAGGCTGAACTACAACAGTAGGCCAATATTATTGCCAATGGTTTACTTTAACTGTATGCATGGCTGTACTGTAAGTCGAAAGCTCTCTTTGCTTTGGGGAGAGGAAAACTAGGCACTGGGGAAAATCTGATTGGTTAGAGTGGGAATGCAAAAAGGGAAACCTGTGAATTAAGATTTTATGCACCCCAAAGGGCCATCCTTTGGATGCAGTACAACCATACAAGGTTGGCCAACTCCTCCAGAATCAGAGATGTGCTGGTCTGCTTTATGCCATTCCAGGGGCCACTAGGTGCATTTCTGGCCAGCATGAATCTTTTTGCTATAAACACCTGCAAACTTAACATTTACTCAGTTAATGTATTTCTAACCTTCCCAGAGCAACTTACGATTAGTTACTTCATTCTCCTGCTGGCAAAAGCACTCCCCTTCTACTTTTTAACTTGATTTCTCTTTCCGGTGCCTCTCTAGTTTGTTAGTTTTTCAGCCGGAAGCCTCTCCAAATGTTTAAGCCGATGGGCCACTGAAGGAATTGTGGAGGCAGGTTAACAGAGGAGGCATTAACAAATGCCAGCCACTGCTCATTTAGCAGAAGACAAGGGAGCCACTGGCCTGCAGGCACCTCCTTTTTCATTTTCTTAGAAGACTTCCGGGATCGATACTGAGCACAGAGGCCTTGTTTTGCAGCATGCTACCTTTTCTTTTTAATTAAGAGCATCTTTTTAAAAATTGGGGTAGGAACATGGTGAGTTCCAAAGAATGTGTCCATTGGAATTTCCTTCCTTCCTTCCTTCCTTCCTTCCTTCCTTCCTTCCTTCCTTCCTTCCTTCCTTCCTTCCTTCCT